AAGAAAAAATTTATATTGATAATTGTTGTAATTTTCAAACTAAAAACTATACAAGAATAGGAAATAATTTGTTTCTTCTCATAAAATCATTCTTAATGAATGATTAAACTTGAAATAATTTTACGTCTTAAGTGTTTTCTCTAAAGATATTTGAAATACTTTCTAATTTGCACTTCAACAAATAGAAACCTTTTAATACTTTCGTTATAAGAACTTTCGTTCGTATACTATATGAGGACATATCATATATCAAAGTAAAGTAAACAAATAAGACATAAAAATTACACTTTCACTCTTCCAATTTCAGTAGCAATTTCTACTGAACTCCATTTACCCCCTTCAACACTTATTAACACAAAAAACAAGCGCGCGAGGATAATACACTAACACAAACAAACAAACGAACAAACAAACAAATTACAGAGACGTTCCAATGTGTTAGTATTATCAAGCTTCTACTTTAAGTTAAATCATCCCAGGCACTTTGTTCAAGGATCTTTGTCATGTTGTTTTAGCGCGGAAATGTACGATTTATCCTTTTTATTCTCACTAACAATATTACAATGTATGAAGCAGCAGACTCTTTACACTCTACGTTAAGATACATATTTTTTACTTTACAAATTTAAGCATTTACAGATGATAATTTACTTTTTCAAAATAAAATAAAATAAAATAAAATAAAGTAGAATAACTCACAAAAACAACAAAAACTACATGCATACATTCGAATTACATAGAAAATGTATAAAAACGTTTCATTGTATTCAATGCCTGTTGGCATCCTGATGGCATACTGAGTGTGCTTGTGTGTGTGTTTGTGTGCTGTTTGTTAGTGAATTTGTTTTAGTGTTTGCATTTGTGTCTGTGTTAACAACACTTTACTAGATTTGTGACAATAAATTACAAATGCGTTCTCACTACGTTTTTTATGTATTCTGCTTTCATGCTTTTATGCTTTTTGCTTTATTTGTACTATTTTATAAGTGAAATTTATTTTATTTGTAGTAAATCCTTGAAAATTTGTTAATATGGGTAAAAATCTTGTTAAGGGATTTGAGAGCAGGATTTAGGTAACGGTTACACTGAATACAACAAAAGGAGATGTCGCATAAAAATGTAACAAAGCAAAATGTTGACCTTTAAAGTTAACTGTCAACATGCACAGTTTGTGGCATTGCATTTTGAAAATAAAAATATTTTATCCTTTAAAATTGTTGATTCCAAAATTAACTTTAACTTAAAACGATCATTACTATTGAATTTTTGAAAATTTATTTATTTTCAATAAAATTTTGAAAATTATACAAAATAATTAAATGCGATACAAAGCGTAGTAAAATTAAAATTAGACGATCGAAATTAATTAATTTCTGAACAAAGCTTTTCAGAAGCTTTTTCTATAAAACTTTACTTTCGAAATGGAGTTTTTGCTCAATATAATTTTTGAGATACGCTTTCTTCTAAGTAAGTTTTGAGCTCAATCGACCTAATAGAACCTCTCCCAAACATGGTAACCTTATCGATTTTTCCAATACCACAAAAACTATAACAGGTAATTCTTTATAATTAATAAAAAGGGTTGAGCGAAAGAAAATAAGAGCTTAAAAATTAGTTTTCATTTTTGTATTTATTGTTACATAGTATTTAATATAACTGGCGAGACAGTCACACAAAATGTTTTCTGTTGTTTCTACTTCTTCACAACAAAATCTGCAGCTATGGTCTCTAATAATACCTAGGTTCGTTAGATGCTTTTTAACTCCACAATGCCCAGTGTGAAACCCAGTGACAAGTGGGATGCCACTTCCATTCAGTATAAGTAGTTCCCTACTTCTGGCTTTTGATCAATACGGCATGGATACTTTAGCTTGTCTGCAGACAATTGTATTATCCCTTACAGTCTGAGCTGCCCTTTCCAGCCACTCATTAATTTTAAATTTGAAAAAGCTCCATGAAAGGATTTGTAAAGAATGGTTTGTGGCCTCATATACATATAAGGCCGTTCCCTATCTGATTAGTTCATCTGCTTTTTCGATTCTCTCAATCTGCTATGTCCCGGGATCCATATTAAGTGAACACTGTGGTTATATCTTCCCTTTTCTGAATATCAGTTAGTTGCTGTGAATTAGCAACTATTCTCATAAGTTTTTAAATATTTCTGTCAAAAAAAAAAATCAGAGCCCGTTTTTGACGTCCCATCTAGAGTAAGTTGTGTGATTATTTTAACCAATGAAATCTGGTAATACAATATAAAGGAAAGTACACCACATTCAAATATAAAAACTTTTGAATCATCTTTTTAGAACATCTATCCTTTTTTATAAAGATATGCGCTAATCTTATCCTGCTAGTCAGTCATTTAAATCACTTACTAATTTCTGGCATATGACTTTCGAAGTAAGCAATAAGGTACGTCCAGTAAATAACAGCACACTTTCAAATGTCTTCTAGCTGCAACTAATATATTCTTTATTTACAATAATATCCACATAAAAAAGAAAAAATTTAATTTTATTAAAATAAAATTTATCCCTACATATACATGTACAAATTTCAGTTTTCAAAAAAAAATTGTATAAATTTTTTTAACACAACACCAATGTTACATTCAACTTGTTAAGTTTGTAAG